AGCTGCATAGGTAGCGAACAAGGAAAGAGGCGGAGGATCAAGGGCAAGTTGTAAAACGCCTGTAGCAATATTCGGTTCTCAAGGGCCCCTCCCCCCTTTTTTTCTTTCTTTTCTTATCTTTAATTCACCGTTGGTCAGCGGGGCTAGGGAAAAGTTTCATGTTTTGACGACGTCCACACGGATGTAAGGATTTTCGGCTGTCGGGTTGGATTGGAAATGGGAAAGGCGATCGGGAATCGGGTTTTTTACTACGCGGGCGAATTGGCCTGGCTGGACTGGGCCTGGCTGGCTGGCTGGCTGGCTGGCTGGCTTAATTACGATTCTGAGCAGACTGACGAGTTTACGACGTTTGGAATGGGGTGCTTGGAGTGTGCCTAATGTACCTTGTGCGTAGGACTGGCGATTTTTGTGGTGTGGCTAGGTAGAACGTATATGCTTGGATTCGTCAAACCTGAATGAATATTTTGCTGCGGCATTGCTGAATATCTCGAAGTCTGCCCCCTAGGTGTGAGATTCAGGTATCTACCTCCGCATTGGTCGACACTTAAGCTAGAGCTATGTCGAGTCTAAATATGACCCTAGAAGCTCATTACGTTAAGCTGAACCCTGTCCATGAGAGCTTCCTACGGAGCCATTTGATAGCACCGGCGTTTCTTAGACGTCCAAGCTATGTAGATAGAATTAAACGAACGATACCGATCCCAACGATTATGAGGAGGGCCCGGCACCGTCAATAATGGTCTAACCTCGTCTTTTTTTACTTCCAATTCTATGTATCAGCTTGCTCCTTTCATTGGCTCTCACGCCTGAGATGCTTCTCTTCGCCAACTTCAACTGTTACTTTCGAATTTCCGAAACGGCTTCCTCCGGCTCGATTACCTCCTCAGCCGTCGTGTTGACCGTTTTGATGCTTGCATCTCGTCTCATGATAAATGTTCCAATCTGTGAGAACGCATACCGCTCAAATTTGATAGCACTCTCTTGGTGTGGGGGTGTCCAGGCCCTGAAACTCGGTCTGTCTTTTGGGCACATTCTTCCATCAATCTGATAGCATCGTCTATGCGGCCAAGTGATTCCCAGATGAGGGCCATGGTGTTCATTGCGGTCAGTGTGTAGAGATGTTCTCCACCTAATACCCTTTTCGCTACCCCTAACACGCATGCTATTAGTTCTTTGGCTTCTTCCAATCGGCCTTGGTCCCTATATATCAACGCTAAGCCATCCATGCTGAGTAGTGTTTTCGGGTTCTCTGTACCAAGTATCCTCTTGTATGCTTCTAGCTGTTGTACTCGTAGCTCTTCGGCTTCTTCCAATCGGCCTTGATCCCTATATATCAACGCTAAGTCATCCATGCTGAGTAGTGTTTCCGGGCTCTCTGTACCAAATATCCTCTTTGATGCTTCTAAATGTTGTACTTGTAGTTCTTCTGCTTCTTCCAACCGGTCTTGGCGCCAATAGGTCCGCGCTAAAAGGTTCATGCTGGTTAGCGTGTCGGGGTGGTCTGCACCAAATACCCTCTTCCTCGCTCCCAGCCCTTCCGAAAACATTGACTCGGCCTCCTTGTAAAACCCGCATCCCAGATAAACGCAACCCAAAAGCGACATTGCGTTCAAGGTTAAAAAACTTTTCTTGCCATATATTTTCTCGATCGCAGCCAGCGCCTCCTCCGTCAATTTTCTCGCTGTCGCATGCCTACCCTGTTCTGTTGCATAATATCCGCCATTGAACAAAACCAACGCCCAATCTTGTAATGATTCTTCGTCTTCCGGGCGGTGATTCAGAGTGATTTCGGCGTGGGGTAAAAGCTTCCGACGCCTTTCCCGGTTTACACGGTCTGTCCTCGGACAGGCTCGGGCCATTCGACCGAGGTAATTTGCCTTGAATATCTCAGCTTCTCCGTGTGCAGCCAACCACTTCTCCATGGACAGCTGGACTAATGCATGCATCTCGAAAGTATCGCCGGTTGCGTTTATCTTGATCAAGCAGTAGTTTCTAAGCGTTGCTATGTCCTCTTCAAACTGCTCATCGAGGTCACAATGAGAATCTGCAGTCTCACTGCCCGTAGTTTCCACCTCATCGTCTTCGGAGGAGCTTTCGGTATCGTCTCTTATCTCATCGTCCGCGTCTTCTCCATTATCCAGTCTCTCTAAACCCTCGGGGCGGACCAAGTCGTCCGGAATACCCTGGCAATTGAAAAAGCTCATTAGCGAAAGCAGATCAGTCGCGGATCGTCTTTCGGAACGAATATGATCAAATGATATCTGAAATGTTGTAATGATCGAGTTCGATGCGCTTCTATCCCGTCGCAGGTCGCCCGCGTCACGGTTTAGAAGACTACACTTGTTCTTTTCGGTTTTTCTGATCTCCTGGAGATATTCTACCACAGTGATCCGCGGCCACCTTTGCTGTATATAGGCAGCAGCTTGGCTGATGGCTAAGGGTATAAATTCTAGCTCCTTTACAAGCTCGCGCCCTGCATCCATGTCTGAGTCATCTTCGCACCTTCTTACAAGGAGCGTAAGAGCATGACTGGGGTCCATTGGCCCAACGTAGATAATATTCTTATGATCCCCGGTTAGCCTCATAGCCAGCTCCCTGTTCCTTGTAGTAACGAGGATCGACCCGTTTGCACTTTGCGGTAGATATGTCCATATAGGCCTTTTCTCATCACTGGAAGCGGCCGCCTGCCCTGCATTTTTGGTGTCATAGAGCACGTTGATGTCGTCGGCGCTATCCAACACCATGAACCATTTGCCATTATGTTCGTTGGATAGCCACCGCTCGACAAGCCGTATGGTGTCCACGCTGGGTTGATCTCGATCGGCAAGCTTGAGAACGTCCGCAATAGTTTTGAAGCTCTCTTGGACTCGTGCCTTGGTGCTGGCATGCACCCATAACAACCAGATCTCTTGATTGCTCCGAGATATGCGGTCCTTCACCCGATAAACATATTCGATGGCGAGCTGCGATTTGCCTACTCCGCCTAATCCCACGAGTGCAGCCCGCGAGGCTGGCCCGGAGCATGCTTGCTCGATCTGTTGGAGAAGGTCTCCTCGTTCCACGAAATTAACATCTCGGCAGAACGGGACGGTTGATGTTGGCTTCGGTGGTGACTCCGGTCGTTCTTTGTTAGAATCAAGTGGTTAGCTGAGGCTCGAGGCTCGGATGGGAATTTATATGGGCCTTCCGGCATTTCGGGGACGCCTTACCAGCCTGTGAGTAGAAGTTCGTCGTTATAGACCCACTACTTTGGCCCACTTGGACGCCGTAATTGCCGGCTTCGAAAGTATTTCTTGGATGCTCCAGCATTGTAGAAAGCTACACGCAGATGTGGATGCATTTCAAGATGAAGATTGGATGAACTGGGGGATTAGGAAGGCTTCGACGGAGACTCAGCCCCCAAAAGAATGAATGAGGCTTGCGTCCACGTGAGGACAATATGCCTTGGGTCGCAATCAACCACTAAATAGAATGGCTGAAATCCTCGAGCCTCGTTGGTCCAATTTGCCTAAGGGATCCCGCAAAAGAAATATACACGAATCCTATGCTGAAGTTTGATTGGCCATATGCCAACAAATACACATAGAGATGTGGTCACCTACCTAGGTAGGTAGTCGACACATATCGCAAGGCTCTCAAGCAATCTGCCTGTCACTTCCATTCTCTGTATTCATGTCAATTATCATGGCTGACCAATCCAGCATCGTCGCAGGCACCGTCGCTATGCTCGTACCAGCAATACACTGGACACGACTCCTATTTCAGGATCTGCAGAATATTTCCGATGCACCAGCTGCTGCCGAGGCTCTTTAAAGAGATCTTTCCGTGAAAATGACGCCAGAGTCTCTCCAAGGAGTGACAGAGACAGAGCGGGCTGCCCTCGGCCCAAACGTGGTTGAGCAACCAAAGGCAACTATCAATCCCCGTTCAGATTCATGCCCCGAACTTCGAGCCGACCAGAACCGCTAGACGAGACACTGCAACAGTAGGAGGTCATCGTGGAAGGACCGAGCAACCGTAGGATTCTTGAAACAGAAGCGCATTAAATCACGTCAGAGCAGCTTCAAAACCACCAGATCACCCTAAACTTGGTAGTCAGCATTGCGACCTTGTCAGTAGATCGCCAGGTCTAGGGAGCGCGGCTAGGTCTAACGAATGAGTCGGGCACTGCTCTATTCATGACGAACCTGCCTCTCGAGAGGTGAAAGACGCCATCCTGAAGCAAACGGCAGAAATCACCAGCTCTAACGGAACGACAGACAGATAGCTCGCCACAATAAGCAGTCAACTAGACCCCTTAGCCCCCGGGAAGAGCGAATAACGGCGGAGAACCTGGTGAATACGAGGTAATAACCAATGAGAGGACGGTATTCCAATAGTTTCTAAAGTTGTTCAAGACTTAAAGGCAAGGAACGAAGCTGAGACGAAGTGATTTTCTCGAAAGCAGCAGACAAACTTGACACAGTGTCATTCGAAAATAACAACGCTGGCTTCCAGCTAGGTACGAACAGCGGATCCATATCCGGGATCACCGTTGGCAGCCGGAATTGATAAACGGCTCGGAGAGGTGCCTGGATATGAGGTTTTATATTGATGATTTTGGGAACGCGATCTCCTCAGGAATTCCTTTTAGGCGATGTTGTATTCCGTAGAATCAAAGTTTTTGGGTTCTATGTCCGACCATAAACCCCTCCAAGGTACCTACGTTTGCGACGTTTAGACGCTCCACTATTATGGTCTTTTGGCGTTAGGTACCCGGAGAGTTTCTGGCGCTAATTGTCCTAGCGTATCATACCGTACATGAAGTATTTGTACCAAAGTTGCGAAACAACGGAAACTGCTCATGGATACATTCTAGAAAGAACTATACACAATGCCTAATATGTTAGACTTGCCGATTTGTTTCGTCGGAAACCATCGGGTCTAAATGGTATGTACCTATTCCGTAGTCACCCACAGAACAGAAAAGGACACAAAAAGATTAGCAGGTAGGTATACTTTCCCTCGGACCGGAATCGAACCGGTGACTTTTCGGTGACTCTAATCTGCCCGTCGTCCGGGATTCAACCCAGAGGACCGCGTGAACTATTACAGCCGAACGCCATAACCAACTAGACTACCAAGGGTGTTCTTACATAGCGAGTTACTCCAGAGCGGGCTTTGGAGCGAGGGAGGGCTTGATGCGAAGGAGCTTTTCGTTGAGGTCTATGTCTTGGATAGCGGTGCGTCTAAGTGGATGGTTAGAGCTCGGTCGCTTTGAGTGGATAAGGCTAGCAGCGTAAATACAGGGGCGGATATATCTTGCAATGATTCGACGAATTGCTAGTGATAGCTGCTTGCTAGGACACGTCCTTGGGTTATGCTCAGAAGTAATCCTGTCGAGAGATGAATATCGAGTGTGCCCTTGGGCGAGTGGCGGAACAGTACGTGCGCTTCAGTTCAGTTCCAATGGAGATTGACTCGGTTCATAATAGTCCATGATAATACGCACGATGAGAGTACACTCTCTCTGGCTTTGGACTGCGTACTTGCGCCATTAAGGCCCAACACCTGACAAGGTCGTTGCGACCTCAAAGTCGAATCGGTCAATGACACGGTATATAGATGCTGTGCCCTGAGAACCCACGAGGCTTATTCGTTAGGAAGGCGTCCCCGTTCATGCCAACATACGGCAGCTGGATTCCACCACATACGTTAGACAGCCTCTAGATCACGAAAGCCATCAGATATCATAGAGGAAATATCTCCTAGGGTACTGTGATCCTGGCTTGATGGAATCACGTTCGGGGAACATGTGATAATATTGCCACTCGGTCTAGCAACACTGTCAATATCAAATGGCCCCGAAAGGTTGGATTCACACCTATAGTTCTACAACATCAAAATACCTCCATACAGCGCTCGGCATGTACGAGCATCACTTTAAAAGACGTTGAGCTTCTCGTTACACTACTGACGGCGCACGGCTCATAGGCTGGGAGGATGTCCGGACGTGAGAGGTGGTGTCTGGCTCCCTTTAGCTTGCCACCGCCTTGTAGCCCAACAGCTCATGTTCCACGAGCCAAATACACCAGGGCCGGAAATCCAACCCAGCGACGATGCAATTTGAAAGGCCTTACTAAAGAGTCCATGACAGTGTGAGTTGCTTCGTCCAAGACACATGCGGACGGCACATATTGGCTTCAGGGGAACTAAGGGAGCCGATAAAGATAGATGGCTGGGATTCTCTTAGGCGAATTTGAATAGTAATCGTTAGGGCTCCATTGCTGGAGTAACCAGTAATCGCGGAAGGTCGGAAATGCACATCTATCGAATATAGAACGAGCTGCAGTGATTATTATGAAGCTGTGGCTAAAGACCACGTCGAAGTAATGCATCCATTTGAATACTTGAGAAGGTCCGGACCGAACGCACCCTTTCGAAATGGACGATATGATGTGTGGCTTAAGGCTCGGTGTGCCACGATTGCGTATCACACAGGACAAGGCCTAATCTAACCGCTGGGCTACAGTGTCTCGGCACTTTGGAGGTCAGCCTTTGTCTCGGTATGCCGGTCCTGGGAATAGCTGGTCGCATCTTCCCGCACCACTCTATCCGGCTGCAGGTAGTTGTAGTTCATGGGAGGCCGCTGGTGTGTCTGTGACGGTCCAGAACCGCAGGATCAACAAAAGGCTGAGCTGTCGCAGCGGATGAGATCTCGACGGGAGACCCTGAAACAAGGTCAAAATGGGGCATTGATTTTCAGCTTGGTTGACTATGGACACATACGAAGCACCAGCCTTTCAGATGGCGGTCTCACCATAACTTCACTACTCAACGCTGGGGAGACGGTATAAGATTTAGTTGAAGCCGGCTTGGACGGTAGCCGTAGTTTGCCCTTGACGGGCTCTCGACGCACTTGGCAAGGCTGCTGATGCTCGGACGGCATTGGTATCCACCTTGCGATAATTTCCCCGTCACCTGGAAGCACAAAAATGCACGTGGGCACTTGTCTATACTTGAAAGCCCTATTGCGATGCAGGTTTCAGGTGATAGGCTGGGAATTATTGCAGACAGCTCGTATGTACCTAATGTATGTATGTTGTCGGGTTGAATCCGATGCTGCAAGGGAACTGGAGCCGAGAGAGTAGCCGCTTATACTTCGGTAACTGGCGCACGGATCATGTGTTTAAACGCTATGACCTCTATGTAGTGCTAGCTTGTTATTTATTTTAGGTAGCGATGACGGAGTCTCATTTACACTAGGTTTTCGACCGAAGTTATTTGGCAGTTTGGCAGTTTGGCAACAGCGACTTGAGAACGCTTCAATTGATTAAGGCTACAACTCAATTGAAGAGGCCCGAGCTTCAGGGACGTTTCACAAAAGCAAGTGAAAACTCTTCAAAGCCAATTGAGAATTTTCCATAATTTGCGAGGTGAATATAATGGTGTCCCCTTAGCTGTCAGGGATCTTATTTGAAGAAGCAAATTGGGGTAATGGCACCTGACCGTTTGGACCGGGATGACCTTCCCGAAGTAGTATTCCGTAAGCCAAGATGGGTAAGGCGTGACCTCGTTACCCCTCATTTTTACTCGTCGTGCTTGTCTTTGGAAGGCGGCCAAGGAGGGTCCTATGCACTTGCATGCAGTCGACGGCGTGAAATGGAGGCAGCTTCGCACAATGGACAACTCATTCTTTATTACAAGAGTGGTGATTTGCTGTCCAGGTACCTCCTCCCGTTAGGTAGTCTAGGTACCTGACCCTACGTGCATTCCAATTCCTACGCCCTTCGAAAATTTTGAATCCAATCCCCTTGGTCAATTGAGCCTGCCGTTTTTTTTCTTATCCTAGTCTTCCAGGTTGGTTTTTAAGTTCACAGTTTCGGGGTAGTTGCTGGCTCTTATAATTCTCTGACAAAGAGTCAAATCATATCCAACGTCTCTTCTACTGTAAACTGCCCCCCCTTGTTAGTACATACATACCTCGTTCTTAGTTTGGTCCACTTCCCACGCGTTGCCCGCCACCCCGCGTTAGCGGCAAAAGGAAAAAAACAAATTTTCCATTGAGAGAGCCGCCTTCTCCCACCAATTCCAAACTCATATCCTCTTATCGCTATTAGCCCAAGACCCCTCCTCCAATTGTTCAATTCCGTGATCGGTCTCGGACCTCGACGCAGACCACAGCTGAGCAATCTCAGCCTCGGCCGGCATAGCGGCACGGAGCTCTACGGAGGAAGTAATTGCCTCAATCCCACCGCTCGTCACATCTGTCACCTTGGATCCGCTTGATATAATTTGTCAATTGAAGAGTGCATGGATGGTCACACAGTTGTCGGCGCCGTTTCGGCCCCGTCCACGAGCCCAACCAGCCCTGTGAGCGTACACCGTCATGGCTCCATGAAGCGAAAGCGCAGCGAAGGGGGAGTCGGAGTCGATAGCAGTCCAGGAAGCGTTATCGGCGAGGAAGACCACTCTTTGGCCGAGCCCGAAAAGAAGAGACAGCCCGGCGTGAAGCGGTATGTGGTAGCAATATAGCACCTAACTGACTCATACTGCATGCGACTCTTGTTTATCAAAATATATCCAACATCTAGCTAACAGCTTCTCGGCAGCGCGTGCAACGAGTGCAGGCAGCAGAAACTGAGGTGCGATGTTGTCCAAGAACCGTTTCAGAGTTGTTCGAGGTGTAATCGTCTAAAGCTCGAGTGCAAGATCGAGTCCAACTTCAAGCGCATCGGCAAGAGGTCAAAACATGCCGAGATGGAAAAGGAGATCGACCGCTTACGTCGCAAGATAGCACAGGCTAAGGCGCAAGGATTTGTAGTGGACGATGATGAAGACCTGCAGTCTCAATTGCAATCCCCCGTCGCAAATAGTGCGTACTCGCATACCCGAAATCCTTCGCTCATGGGGTCCGATGAGGCTGTCACTTCCCTTCTGACTCTAAAGCGAGGAGGGTCGTATAGCTTGGCCGCAACCCATTATGCCTACGAGCTTGAGACTGTGCGGCTGACCGAGCAGGATGTCCATGGTTTATTTCAGGAATTCTTCACCTGTTACCACCCATTCCTCCCCTTCCTAAACGAGCATCAGTCGCCCGATCTTTACTATCAGCAACATGCCTTGCTCTTTTGGACCATTATAGCCATAGCCTCGCGGCGTTATCATCCGAAGCCTAGTATCCTGCACGAGCTGTCTAGCGGACCTCTGAATAGATTGCTATGGGGTACTGTAGGCGATGTACCCAATAGCTACTTCGTCGTCAAGGCCCTTTGCCTATTATGTACTTGGCCGTTGCCGACTAGCACGACGACGGCGGATCCGACTCATATACTATGCGGTGTAATGATGAAAGCTGCCACGGGTATCGGTCTACACCGACCAAATCACACTCAGGATTTTTCCCGCGTGTCCGTCGAGCTCAACAAGGATCAACTTCATGATCGAGTAACCACTTGGGCCGTATGCAACATCGTTGCGCAGTCAATCGGGACGGGTTACGGACAGCCCGCTACTACGCTCTATGATTGGACCCTAGCTATCCGCCCTGGGGAAGACGGACCTTTCACGTTATCACCCGAACTCGAGGCCAGGCTGAGAATAGAGAGGTTCTGCGACAAAGTCTCGAAAGAGATGTACAGCAATGCGAGCGATCCTAGGGGAGTGGCCGGAGACGAGCACAGAGCGATGCTGATGCGAGTATACCGTCGAGACTTCCAGGAACTGCAGGCCTCGATCCTTTCCCAGCGGCTATCTCCCATTGTAGAGGTCCATCTAACAGCCGCTAATGTCCACCTGCGTCTCGCGGGATTCTTCGACTCCAGCAGCACTCCTGGTTACATGGACGATCTCATGGGCCTATGGCGAGCCATCACAAGCTTTCTCGATCTCCTATTTCAAGATTCAAATCAGCATATCTTACTTTATGCCACTAATTACATCCAGCAGATGCTCGTTGCTGCCGGCTTCGCTTTGTTGAAGTTGATGAGATCATTCTTTGCGAAAACTATAGAGTTCGAGAGAGGACGGACGCTATTTCATAAGACCATCCAAGCAATACGCTCCACAAGTGTCTTAGATAATGATCTCCAATGGAGGTTAGCGGAGCTCATGGTTCAGATGTGGAACGGCGCGCGAATCGACAATA